ACTGGTCAGGTAAAGTGGAAGTAGGCAGTTTGTGATATGACGCCGGACCATGAAAGAAATATGTAGAGAAGTGGTTCCTAATGGCCCGTCACGACACCCCAGTTGGTATCCGAGAGATAATATAAGTAAGTGTCGTGAAATATCGGATACAGTCCAGAATAGAAGCGGACGGAGATTCTGCTGTAATTTTCTTACTTCATATAAATCAAAGAAACTTCTTTAACTGGAAGGATTCGTTCTGATCGCATATTTTTAAAACCGAATTGTTCTTACAATTACATTTTATTCTGGTTCACTTATTTTTATTTATCAACTCACTTTTTTGACTACAGACGCTGCTCTTTATCTGTATCTTCACAATTTCACTCACTCCTTTGTGTGGTTCATATTTATTTTGGTCCCTATTTGCACCAATATTTATGTTTGAATAAATAAATAAATAAATCATACACTAACGAATTCCGAGCTAAATGATCCAACGTTTTCATTCATTCTGTGGTGTAGTCAAAATAATTTAGTTTAGAGAGAATAATGGTTCATGTTTTCCCAATAGAATTTACAACAGTATACGACAGTATATTAAACCCAACTGATTGATTCATCAATCACTTTATTTAGTGACTCATATTTAACACTATCTACACAACGGATAAAATAACCGACTAACTGAAATTAGATTTACATTTGATTTAATGCAGGTGTATAAGACTGAAGTATCAGAATAGCCGAATGAAGAATCAGACTATTTCAATGTTTATTCAAAACGTTCAACATGATTGCAAGTGGAAATCAAATTAAGCCAGGTTTTAATCCCGTTGACTAGTTAAAAATAACTTACTAGAAGTATTAATCTACAATAAGGTAACGTTTTAGAAATACTGTGTTATATTTCCTTGGTATGCAAGCTAGTGTGTTATTTTATTTTAAAGAATGTTCTACTCAGCTTTCTGTTATGCATTCACTTTAAAGAGTCGATATAAGTAGAGGATCGTCATTTGATGATTTGAATTAGCGATTACTGATTCAGCTATTAAAGACGGACAAAAAGATTTGATAAACAACGTAGTTTTTAGTACTGTTAACGGTATGACTTCCAATTGTTCGCACCACGGAAGGCTATTTCTCTTTGAGGTGCTTGAAAAGGAAATTGGATTAGTGATTTCAGTTTTCTAACTAGTGAGTAATCAGTACCATAATCTCTATTTGTTTATCTGTTCTAAAAAATATTGAAAAATCATACTCATTTACGAGTTTTAACTGTATATTTATGGGTTGCCGTGACTGTAAATCAAGAATACCCCATTGACAAATAATGAGATGCTTCACACGACACTGGTCGAAAACTATAATAACTAACAAGTTCTAGTTCAAGTAAATGAATTCCGACCTTAATATTATGAATTTTTTTGGTATTTCCAGTTAAACAGAAAAAAAGTAATCTCCAACAACAAACAATAAAGAAGCATAGATACCTTTTCCCATCTGTGTCGACATGAGCAACGTAAGCACTCCGTACACAACTCTGTGGATAATAAAGTGAATAAAAATGCATTTACAGGAAGGAATTTAAATAAATCAACAGCATTAGTGATAATGTTTGTACGTTAAAAGACAAAAGAGAAACCCAAGAATAAATAACCATTTAATATGTTAGCCCTCGGATTTACATAGTTGGTGAATAGTTTTTCGAAGAATACCTGATGAAAAATCTAAAGTAATTAACAATTGTCAAAACGGAGCTGAAACTTGAAGAACCACTACCACCATTATCAAAAGGGTACAGGTGTTCATAAATAGCTGCCTATCCAAGATAATCCAGATCTATTGAACAGACACCACCAGCAGTAACCTACTGTGATAGGGAGAAAACCAGCTTCCAAATGCAGAGGGAATTCGGAAAATATGCTAGAGGTGGACAAGTCACACTTAGTGGAAATCATGAAACTGCATCAAAAGGCAAACGCCCTAACTTAAGATCCTCAAATCAAAAGGGAAAACAGAAGACAAATAACACATGGGGCCGGAGATCAAGGATACATTAAGACCGAGAATGCAACTCGTCAACAATTAGGGTTCAGGACAGTTACTTGGTGATTCTCGCATCAAAGCATTTACGACACCAGTGTGCATCAAGTGGGAACAATAGAAATGACAAATTGCCTTACTATTTTTCTTTAAAAACAATTTTCCGCAAAATCATTGGTATTTTAACTTGTTATAAGGATAATGACTGATGTTGATGCACAACTTACGCGAGATGGTGGGGGATGTAAGTTCATATTTGCACAGTGTATTACCGAAGTTTACCATAACACAGATAAAATAGAATGCAAGAATACACTATATTATTCTGCCTAATAAGCTAAGCACGAGGATGGATGATATCACCAGTTTAGCTAAAGCGAATTTTTAGCAAATGATCCCGTAGCCGAAAGTTTAATTTCTAGAATAAAGTGGATGTCGTGAAATAAAATACTTGGATAGATGACAGAAAGCTAAATTCGTATTGTTTATTAACCAACTGGCTTTAGGTTCTAAAGCTCTTTTAAAAGTGGATAAGAGGTGAACACCCATATATATATGCACTTCATTTAATGACTGTATTCCATCTATTCTGTATTAGTAAAACATAATTCCAATATTTGTAGTTCCAAGTTTAACTTGACAGCATATCTGGAAGTCACGAAATTACCTCCTGCTATTAGTAATTGGCTTGACAGTAGACAGATATATCTACTAACTGAAAGATTATAGCTGAAAATCAACCTACCTATGAGTGAATACCTAGCAAATTCTACCTATATTACAATAAAGTAAATGCACACACAACGCCACATGCTTAAGTTGTAACATACCTCCACATCTATTTGAGTGAATCCAGGTTGTGTTTCATCATTAAAATCGTCTGTTGTTATCCATTTATTAATTGATACATCAGCATGATTCTCCAGAACTTCAGTTAATAAACTGTCGTTTTCCAGGCCTAGACGACTGTTGATTTCTTGGCGTTGTACTTGATGACATAAAAATGAGAGTAAGTGTGGACAATATGTTACTATTATGTAACACTGAAAGATTTAGCTGTTAAAAATACATTTAAAAATCCAGGTTATCTTTAGTGTCATAGTGATATTTGTCTAGCTGTAAAAGGTCTAGTCTACAACTCACGAGTGAGAGCAGATTTGCTGTACTTGTGAAACCCGGCCCCTTCCTCATACAAGCGAAAGGAACTCTATTAATTGAAAGGATTAACTGTATTCCTCCTCTAAATGAACTATACTTCTTATTGTGTACTACTCTTGTTCACTTAGATTTACAATTACTCTCCTCTTTCCTCCTCTATTTCTTTATTTGTGTAGTACATGCATTTTCCGTGCTCATATGTACAAGAATCTATGTGTATTAACTAATAAAAAATATTCCGAAAATAGGAATTACGTCGATGATCTTACCGAGGATCTGTATGTATGTTTCTAACCGGTTGTGGTAATGAAGAGACATTTGGATACCTGTCAAGCGTTGTGAATACTTAGGAGTAATAAGTTGCGTAAGATTTTGAAATTTATAGTATGCCAATTAGAAGATCTAAAGGCCTGATCACAAATTTCCCCAATAACTACGAGGAATACTGTTGAAGAACTAAATGAGGGATGTTGTGGTTTATACTGAAATTATAGAGAGGATATCTAATGAGTTGATGAGACTATGAACTTGTGTAGACAAAATTGTATGAAGCCATGAACTCCGAGTTACAAACCACCAACGTTTCACATGAAACGAGGCCTAAGAACAGTCTGGAAACATCATTGGTTATACAGAAAGATTACAACTCTAAAAGTTACTAGAACTACATGAGGAACTGTAGGTCATTTTAACTGGCTCATTGAGTCTGAGACAGCATGCAGAATGGTCCGCAAATGCCCTGATATGGCCGAGGGCGGAGAAAGAGTCCGCTCTCCCTATCAAAATACTTTCACATGACCATGCGTATTTAGCCACAGCCACGAAAGTCCTACTCAGCCTCCTCGTAGTGGGGGTTTCATGTACGAAACAGAAAAGAGAAAATGAATGTCCGGCGCTTAAACTGTGTCGATGAAGATTTGGGAAACATTGATTTCAAACCAACAGCGCACTTGAGGCCCGAAATCCTGAGGGAACAAATGGAGTACAGACCTATCCCTAGTCACTGGCTAACATGGGATCACACTTCCTGACGTCGTTTCACTTCCTTGTGGATTAAACCTCTGGGTCAAAGGCCCAGAAAACTACCTGCTTTGGTTTAGGCACACAAATAGCATCCTGGCGCATACACAATAACAGTGATCTGTATGACACACTGTAACATTTTGTATTCGTTGTCAGTTTTGGCGTATGACGTCGAGAAACGAACCGAGAAGCTAAAGTGTGAAATATGACATTGGTTTTACTATTTATGTGAGCTAATAGTGATTTGTGTTTCAATAGGTTACGATCCTTATGATAGCAAAATTTTTTACATCCATCAATCCACTGGGCAACTAAAATCGAAGAATTCTATTAATGAGTTGTACTTCCACCGTTATGAATACCTAATAAGATTGTACTTAATATATCGAGGGTATTAATATGGTTGTGTAGTAACTATGCTCCTTTCAAATTAAAATTAATCTTTATAGTATAATTATCCAGGATGATGGCTTTGAATTAGTGTCGTTTGCTGACAGTTCTGATGCAGGTATTTAACGCTTACATAAACTTAGGAAAGAAAGCTATTAATGTACTGATGCCAACTGATAAGGATTGTTAACTGATCCATAACTCAAACTAAAATTTTATATCCCTAAGAAGTGTCTAAGTTAATGGCTATGACCTAATATGGACTCCATTTATAGATGAATGTATTTTCAATTATCTGTTTACACAGGGTATCGTAAAATAAAGTTTTTTTCAGATAATTATGGTAATAAATTGATATTAAATATACCCAATAACCATACAGCGAAGCTAAGACTTCTAATTACCTGTCGGTAAGATTTGAGACTGAATATCTGTTTGTGGATCAAATGTATCACATTCCATTGCATTTTCATTATTCTTTTTACACCGTTCAAAATAACCCCGACTGTTATTTTTGTCCAATTCTCGTGCATCCATACTGTAAAGTCGAGCACCCTGAGCTAGAACATAGTCAATCCGGAGTCCACTTAGGCTGAGGAAGCCATTAGTTGAAACGTCCTTTTGATCTATGTAGCTTTGACAATTCAAAGTTGGTTCCCAGTCAGGCAAGTGACGAACAATGTGACGAATAGCTTCTGATGCAGCAATACGAGAAGCCCAGTTTTTATGTCGAAGCAGAGGGATAAGCTTCAGGTTCAATAAGAGATATGAATAGGATAGTTAGTGACTAAACTTATATTAGAAGTGAAAATATAAAATGCCAAAGAAAATCCTTGCTAAACCTAAAGATCACTTGACGTTTCTCTAGACATACGAGAATGTTTATCAAGAAACCCCAGATGACAGATACACAAATAATAATGAAATTCAAAGAATTGCGATCATTATTCACAGTAGGGAAGACATTAAATGAAGGTGACAGGATCAAACTTACTCTAAAGTCAATAAAATCCATAACTGTGAACATTGTAGGTTCTTCCATCGAATGTCATTTTAAAGTGTTTTTACTATGATATGACAGTAACATTTTGAGAAAACATTCAATGTGATATTCGGAAGATCAAAAGGGTGACTCGATTAAGATGAATGAGTTGAATGTTTACAGTTTGAAAAAACACTAAATTTAATGGTCAAAAGCATTCTGATGTATACGTTAATTAATCAAATAAAGCTGAGCGAAACTTAGTTCTTACTAGATACCGGGCTATGATAATTGACAAGACTTAGTGTTTAAATATCAAAAATCTTTAAAAAGAGCAAACTAACTCATCAGATGCTTCGGGATTGGTTACACTGTCACGGCTGGTGATACTACCCTGTTGTAGGTGGAGGGGGTTCGAACGTAGAGCTCAGTGACTGAGTCGAACCTTTTGGCCACCAAGCTACTGAGTCAACGGCAAATCATACCTTCCACCAAATATTTCACAATGACAATGGAAACAAGTTCCAGAACGTAATGAATAGGAGTTGATGAATTTGTAAAAGTACTCTACACTTTTATAATCATGAACAAAAAAGACAAATATTACAAAATAATTCGGTCACACCTGGAAAACCAATGGTTAAATAAATGCCTCATATATATATATATATATATATATATATATATATGTAATGATTAGGCAATTAGAAAGTGTTTTAAAGAAAAATCGATTCCTTACACAGGTGAAGACATAATCAATGCTTGATGGACTACTTTTTGCGATCTCTCCAAGTTGCTCTGCAGCTGCAGTTCGTAAAGACGCATTGGGACAACTTTCCAGTAACACAAAAAGACGGTCAAGGCTAAAAAAGAGTACATATTTATTAGATTGTAACGAATGGAATATGAAAAGGGTACTGCGTACACTGTGACATGTTCTGATTATATTTTGTTAAGAAGGATATAACAGACTTCTGATGTGAAAAATAGAATAGGATTCACAATCCTTGGTTGTCCAGATAACAGCTATTCGTCTATATGAAGTCGCTGTGTGATTTTAATGATGTGATCATGTTTATACTTAAGATGCTGTAAAAAACGGCAGTTTAACGACTGGTCACTGACTTATATTTGCCTAATAAAAATAAATGTGCCCACAATAATGTGATCAGTAGTGAACTCCAATTTTTGTGGTACTTTGGGCCAAAACTGTAAAGGTAGGTTAAAGGGTGCATTTGATACAGTATCCTAAGCACCGTGATTTTCTGACGTACTCAATATCAGTCAGAACTTATCAGAATGATGCTTGGTGATGTTAATCCCATTAAGGCCGTTGGTTTACTTATTAATAACTGGTTAAAGCTTTGAAGAAAACAATCGCAAGTTTCCCAGTGGAGACAAAATGTAAGGTTTTGCAGTCCCATATATAAACGCAAACCTGGGAAAACGTTTTGATCAAACTGATGATATACATGAATTATAAAAACATGTCTGCAGCATTAAGACCTGGAAAATCAAAACTCACGAACAATAGAAATTCTCTCAACATCGCATAGTAGGGCATCTGTTTTTAAGACGTAAAAAGCACCGCCAGGAATACTCAGCTATACTGAGCCGAAATTCCGTACTTTCGGCAAGGTTCCTACAGTCCCTCATTTGGTCGAGGTTTTGACGTATTTCCTCAGAAAACTTGGGTAGTCGATCAAAATGATCGCTATAAAAAGTCATCATGATTTATAAGGATCATGCAAAGGTCTTATCTGCAAGTTTTGCAAAAATCCACCAACAAACGTTTTCCAGTGGACATATTACATCATATTATGTATAAACAATAATATAATTCAAAAACAACAATTAGGAAATAATTACAAGTCAAAAGTAGTACCGGCTGGTCATTAGACTCCCGATAATCCCCAGTGGTACTTGTCCACAGACTAAAGGAACGAGTGCACAATAGAACAAAGAGGCATACGCCGTCCGCCATCGCACCGAATATATTTATACTGAGCACCATTTAGATATGTTGCGCATTTTATTGGAATATTATGTATGCTATTGGTCCACTGTTTCCAACGTCCTTCAATGAAATATTTCAGTGCATTTAAAAAGCCAAGGAGGAATTTGAGGCAACAAGAAAGTTCACCAATTAAAATCCGATTTTCGTTTCAAGTCGAACTCCAAAAACATTTCCGTGACACAAATTTTGTCATCTTAGACCCGATAACCAAATAATTCAACCTATCATATAATTTGTACAATTACTATAAGTGATCGTAAAACTGTCGGAGAACTGACCTTACTGCGTTTTTCGAAGCGTCAGTGAACAAAATGGGGTGAATTGTGAGGTTTAAGTTTAGATACGTCAACAAAGTAGCATTCTCTATCGCTGCACGGTTATTCGGTACTGTTTGGCAGTAGGATTTTGAAATGGGTGTTATCGTGCATCGCCTCTCCTCCCCCTCCCTCTGTTTTGTATACTTTGCCACATCAGAGAGGTGTAGGGAAATTGCATTTTCGCCTTGTCATTTGTAATTTCAGAGGAGACATGTTTCAGTTAGAATTACTGTTCGGAGGTCAGAAGGGAAGCACATGTTTCCCGCAACTCCTATTAACTTCTCGGCCCTCTTTAGTTGCTATAAAGGCATTTGTTGGTGTTTGTACTCAGATGTCGCTCCTCTGCAGCAACATGTTTTCTGGTTTTAAACCAACTGATAGTTAAAGTAGGTTATTCGATTTTGTAGGGACTGAACTCTGAGAGTTTTCCGTTAATGTTGTGTATTCCATTAGCTGGACCACGACCTCGATGCTCTGTACATGAATTGTTCGTCGAAGTCAGCTGACACCAAGGTGTGTTTTATTTTGTTTTATCCTATTGCCTTGTCAATCTAGGTCGGCTCTCATAATCTCTGATTTGTTCGCAGAGCTCATTCGTCGAGCTGTACTATGGCCTGATGAGCTTCAGTCATATTCTTATGATATTCTCTACGGCCAACGGTTTGTCGTGCCCAACTCGGATTTGAGAGAAGGCTTTAACCGGTAGTCTTTGAGTAGCTGAATAGAGTTACTATTCATAGAAGAGGTTTACTTTTAGATCCTATGCAGGTGGAATAGTCTTTGTGGTATGGTATCCTTTCTCAGAAGCGAAGCATACTTGTCAGTTTTTTCTCCAACAGTGAACATTAACTAAGCTCAAGTGGTTTTGTGTATTATCTTTATTCGCAATCTATAGTGTTTTGCAAATTATGCTGTTGCTATATTCTTTCCTTTATTTTGTAAATTACTTCAGCAGATTGCTCTCGCTGGAGAGATTGGAGATGTCACTCCAAAATTAAATGCGACAACAAATTCGGAGATGGTTGAAAACACAAAAACGACAGCGGAATGTGACAAAGAGAAGCCATGAAGTAAGAAGATTGAAAAGGACGGTCTTCCCTTTTGTTCATCATCGAACGACTTCTTCTACTTTGAGAACTTGGTTGTTTATAACTTTTTTCTTTTTTCACAGTTCCTCAAACAGTGAACGGCTCCTTAAATAAAGTCCGAATTATAAATACATGTTATGTTTTTACACCGTTTATTTGGATGATAGAGCACTCACAATTTGTGCCCGTACAATTCACTAGATCCTGGAAAGTGAAATTAAGTTGCTAGCGCACAGAACTAGGTTCCACTATCCTGAAAACCAATATAAATGACGCGAACAGAATATACAGTTCTTACTGAAGTACAAGTGGTATGAAAGACTCTAATACTAAAAATATAGGTTGAAATATCCTCAATTCCTAGAAATTGGTAGGCAGCACCGTCAGTTGTTTTGCCAGTTCTAGCTCTGAACTCCGCCTGGAGCCCCTATGGACCTAACGACGGTCCCAAGCCCAGATAAAGGCGAAAGTTGGACATGGGGCGAGAAACCCCATCCCGTAGAAAACTAAATCGCTATAAAAAACGCCAACCAGAAAAAAATATTCAAACCATTTAAACTTTTCCCTGGGGGCTAGAAGGTCTTCATTTAGAAGAATTATCAAGCCTCATGGTGAAAGACGAGTTCCTTCAGAAGTCAAGAGGCTGCTGACCCTTCTGATGGCCAGAGCAACCATTTATTTAGGTACATGGAATGCCCGTAAAGTGTGGGAGACCGGGAGAGTCTTCGAGATTGCTGTTGAAATTATGAGGTACAACATGAAGGTGCTTTGAATCAGTGAAACACATTGGACGCAGGCTGAACAACAAAGACTAGCTCCAGGAGAGCTGCTGTTATACTCTGGCCATGAAGAAGAAAATGCCCCACATACACAAGGAGTTGCATTGATGCTATCCAAACATACACAAAAAGCACTTATAGTATGGGAATCTCATGGACCAAGGATCGTCAAAGTCTCCTTCAAACACAAAGAAAGAGGACATTGCAATGAAGGTCAACCAATGCTATGTGCCTAATAACGACTACAATGAGGTTGTTGAAGATCAGTCCTATGATAGGCTGTCGTCGATGGTTGAGAAGTGCCCAACAAAGGATTTGAACATTCTCATGGGAGATTTAAATGCCAAGGTTGGATTGGATGACACCGGATATGAGGACATAATGGGACGGCGCGGACTGGGAGGAAGGAACGAAAATGGTGGGCGATTCGCAAACCTATGTGCCTTTAATAAACTGGTCATTTGGGGCACTATATTCCCACATAAACTCATACACAAAGCCACATGAACTTCACCGGATCACACTATGCAGGACCAAATCGACCATATCTGTATCAACAAAACGTTTGGGAAGATGTGAGAACCAAGAGAGGAGCTGATATAGCATCAGATCATCACTTGCTGGTCGCCAAGATGAAATTGAAACTCAGGAAACACTGGACAATGAGGTGGACAATACCACAAAAGTTTAATACGGCTTTTCTCCGGGATACTGACAAACTCAGCAAATTCAAAATAGCCCTCAGCTATATATTCCAGGCCTTTCACGATCTACTCAATGGTCAGGAACTAGAAAGGGATAAAGGAGGTAATCACTTCAACATTTCATGAGGTTCTGGGCCACAAGAAGCACCATCACAAGGAATGGATCACTGTTGATACACTGAATAAAATTCAAGAAACGAAGAATAAGAAGGCAGCAACCAATATCAGCCGAACAAGAACAGAGAAAGTCAAGACATAAATTGAATACACAGAAGTAAACAAGCAGGTGAGGAGGAGCATCAGAACCGACCAATGTAATTATGTGGAAGAGCTGGCAATGCCGGCGGAAAAGGCTGCAAGATGAGGAGACAGGAGACAATTGCATGACCACAACGTGCAGTGAGGAGTAATGAAAACAGAGTACTCACCAACACTGAAGAACAGAGAAAAAGATGCGTAAATTACTTATAGGGACTTTTGAATCGACCCAGCCTCACTGAACACACTCAACATCGAAACAGCACCCACGGACCTCCCAATCGATGTTGGTCCACCAACAGTTGAAGAGATCAGCTTGGCCATCAGACAAATCAAGAGAGGCAAAGTAGCAGGACCAGACAAGATTCCAACAGAGGCGCTGAAAACAGATGTGACAGCAACTGCAAAGATAATCCACATTCTCTTTCCCAAGTTTCGGGATGAAGAACAGGTACCGACAGACTGGAAAGAAGGACACTTGATCAAGATACCAACGAAAGGCGATCTCAGCAAGTGTGATAAGTACAGAGGCATCAATCTTCTCACAATACCAGAAAAAGTCTTCAACAGGGTATTGCCAAACCGAACGAAAGGTTCCGTAGACACGTAACGTCGAGATCAGCAGACCGGATTACGTAAGGATAGAACGTGTACCAACCGAATCGCAGCACAACGGATCATTGTTGGACAATCTATTAAATGGAATTTATCACCCAACACCAGCCTCATTGACTACGAGAAAGTAGTTGATGGCTTGGACAGGACAATATTATGTAGGATTCTTCGGCACTGCTGCATGACTGGGAAGATGGTCAACATTATACGGAATTCTTATTATGGATTTCACTGCAAAATCGTGCATGGAGGACAGGTCACAGACTCGTTCGAAGTAAAGACCGGTGTCAGGAAAGCTTGCTTACTCTCAACCTTTCTCGCTCTCCTGGTGATCGACTGGATCATGAAGACGTCGACTTCTGGGGGAAAAATGAGGCACAGTGGATAGCTTGGATGCAGCCGGACGATCTAGACTTCGCAGATGATCTGGCTCTTCTATCGCACATGCAACAACAAATGCAGGATAAGACGGCCAGTGTAGCAAAAGCCTCATCAGCAGTAGGTCTCAATATACACAAAGGGAAAAGCGAGATTCTCTAACACAACACAGCATGCACTAATCAAATCACACTTGACGGAGAAGATTTGGAAGATGTAAAAACCTCAACATATCTAGGCAGCATCATAGATAATCAAGGGTGGATCTAATGCAGATGTGAAGTTGTGGATCGTCAAAGAAAGAACAGCTTACCTACAATTGAAGTACTTCTGAAACACAAAACAACTGTCTGTCAACCACCACCAAATTCATAATTTTCTATACAAATGTCAAGACAGTATCAATCAGATACGGATTGTAATGGATCTATCCTATCTAGTTAGGTGACTTTGTGGAGGACTAAAACTCAGCACTCTTGGAGGTCTTAAAGTTCAGCCATCAAGATTTTCACTTCACTGAAGTCTGGTCATAGGCCCTCCTCTTTAGTGCAAATAATATTTGAATGTAGATGTTTTTAGTGTGACTGGAAACTCATTTCAGTACAATGTATGTTGGACCTGTTTCATGCAATCATAAATTTATTTAAGTGCAATACAGCTGCTAGATACTCTGTTGTCTATTCTAATACAACTGCCGTGGGATTTACTCTGGGTTTTAACATAAATTCAACACAATTAAT